TGGCACCATATCAGCCTTCTTATTCTCCCAGGCCAGCTTAGAGACCGTCTCCCCCAGGAAGCCTTGGCTGATCCTACCAGTAGTGACTTCTTTTCTGAAATGCCAGACTATTTGGTATATCTCCCTTTTCTCATATTGCCTGTTATGTTATATCCTGTTGTAACAGTCACTAGCCCTTCATAGTAGCACATTTTGCATTTTGGTGTAACTTTAATACAGAGTCAGGGATTGTTAGGTAGAGCTTCTATTAAGAGTTTTTACAACATGATGTCCCCTATACCATGGGTGTCAGGCACTGATTGTCACAATGCAAACTGACTCAGAGAATCTCGGAGGTTTGATAGGTTCCAGAATGAAAATAATGACCCAGTTTTCTCCCAAGTCTATTATTTTCCCATCCATACAGAACAGAGTGGGGTTCTTTATCTGATCTTATTAACCCATGGCCGTGTCTCATTTTGGCTCCTGCCACCACTCTGCCCTTGTAAACGTAGCCTTGTGTCACCCACAGAGCAGTAGGACTGGTTCTTATCTGAGGCTCACAAAGCGCTATACGCAGATGTTTGATCAATTAAGCTATTGTGTCTCAATATCTTAGAGAGATTAGGTAAAGGGCATCAGGTTGAAAGATGTCTTTGTTGTGTTTTATCATTTTGCTGGAATTACCAGTTTTCCTTTTAATCATCAAGGCTCTGTGCGATTATCAATACTGTACCGCGGCATATGCTTCCTTATTTATACTCTACATTTCCTTTCATCTCTCAGTTGCCCTGCCAGATTGTCAGACCTGTGAAAGCAGGGGCCACATCTTACTTGTCTTTGTAACTTCACTGTCTCAGTCTCTCAAAAATGAAGAAAAGTCAGTGAAAATGAGCAGCTTGAATGGCTTCACAAGGAAAGGACTTGCCTGGGAACCTGAGCACAGGTGAATCTACAGCCTTGAGCTCATTTCGTCGTTCCTAAGACAAATCTAATTGATAATGTCTCCCCTCTTTCCTGCAAGTATATTTTGAAACAAAATTGGGTTATATATAATATTTTGAGCCTTTGGGAGATAGAATCACATAAAGCACTTTGCCTGTCAGGAGTAGTGTAATTTAGTTTGATGACATCTCGTGCTGGGGTCCACTTGTCTTATTGTAAGACTTCTTTTTAAAACAAATAATAAATGATTTAGCCTTTCTGGTGATTTTGAAAAGGTTTAAGGGATTGCATATCAAGAATCTGTCAGAGGATTAAGTTAATTACCTGTCTGTGCCACCAGTTGCTCTATTCATGACCCTGAAGAAAGTCACTTCTTTCTCCTGCTCATTTTTGGCTGCTCCTTCCAGGGTGTTGTCAGAATACGTTTTACTGCTGTACGAAAGAAAATCATGGAAATAGAGAGTTCTGAGGAAACTCAGCACCAGCAGTTCCTGGCACTTAATAAGGTCTCTCTAAGTATTTGTCGAATAAATTAATGAATCAGTCAATCAGCCCATTTCCACCACTGCACATTACTGCGATTTTCCAGCCAGATATTATTTCCCTGGCTCCTGTTTTAAAACTGCCAGCAGTGGAGAGAATTCACTCCCTCTGAAGGCCCCTCATTACATTTGTCAACAGGTTTAATTATTACCAAATACCACCTTACATGTCTGTGAGGCTTTTCCTGACTCTGCTGGGCACTTAGCCCCTGCCGCACTGCACTCCTCTGGCATCAGTCATCTCTCCGTTGAGGCTCTTTATAATACCTGTTATGTTCGCTTTCTAGACTGTGAGTTTGTGAGGACAGAGGTGTTTTTTACATCCTTTATACTCCCAGCTCCTAGCAGAGGACAGGATGGATGAAAGACTGAACAGGGGGCTAGAGAAAATGAGCGGAAAGAGCAATAACAATATGCATTGGTTGCCAACCCAGTGGCCTCCTAAGAGGGATGTGCTGACCCAAAGAGATATGCACCAACAACAGTCCACTGGGCTTCAGCAAGAAAATTTTAAACTGTTTCCATTTTCTTTAAGCTCAGCCATTTTAATTTCTATTTTTTGTATGTTTTGTACTACAGATACAATTTTGATACAGTTGTACATGTGTTTATTTATAAACAAACATATATTGGAGGTACATATTCAAGCATTTTCTGGAAAAGGTGCAAGTCATAAGCTTGGAGCTCCTTAGCATAGCTGTTGGTCAGGTACTATGTGAAGCATTTGATACACATTGTTCAGCAAAATTATATTCCCCTGTATGGATAAATAAAAACTCATTCATCAGTTGGTGGACATTTGATTGTTTGCATTTCTTGGCTACTGTGAATAATGCTGCTATGAACAATCGTGCCTGTTTTTATGTGGACATATGTTTTTAGTTCTCTTGGGTATATACCTAGGAGTGAATTGCTTAACATTTTGAGAAACTGCCAAACTCTTTTACAAAGTGGCTGCACCATTTTACATTCCTACCAACAGTGTATAAGGCTTCCATTTCTCTACATCCTCACCAAAACCTGTCACTGTCCGTCTTTTGTATTATAACAATCCTAGTGTGTGTGAATGGTATCTCATTGTGGTGTTGATTTGTATTTCTCAAATGACAGAGATGCTGAGCATCTTTTCTTATGTTTGTTGCTATCCCAACTATTTCTTCTGAATTTAAATTTATTTCTTTTGTGTGTATGTCTTTCATTAGAATATAAATTTTGTTCTTGTGATACTGTTTTGTCCCAAGAACTCTCAAAGCCTATTAAATACTCATGAAATATCCCATGAGACATTGCATGGCCTCTCAGGGTGCCATACTGCTGGAGCCGTGGACTGTAAGAATTTAAGTGAATTTCCACTGACAACATTCCAGAAGGTCTCCACATCATGTTATTAGATCACAAGCCTTCATAACCCCCAAATTATGATGTAGATAATGCTTTATTAAAAATCTCTTAATGTCACAGCAATATCGATAGTTTTTTTTTAATTATATTTTCTTTTTACATCCCTATGAGGCAGAAGAGAAGGTACTATTTCACAGGGTCCTCTGAGAAACTAAATGTAGAGGTTTGAATATCTAAAAAATTCTAATAAGTCATAATAAAAACCTTTTGAGCACAACCCATGTTTCCAGATGTATAAGAAAATTTCAAGATTGTTTTTAACTTTTATGCCAGTCCTGGACATTTATCATTGCTCATATGTGATGCTAACATCTTAGCAATGTTAAAATTAATGTTTGCTATCAAACTTATTTAGGCCACAGAGAAAGGAAAGGTTCTGAAAATTCCATGTGCCAGCTTTCTTCCCTGTACATTGAAAGAGTATATTAGCCTCGGATGATCTGCAGTAGCATTCTTGAATTTTTTTTAAAAAGTGTGCCTGGCATATTACATGTGAAGTCCACATCAGTGTAAGTGTTTATTGTAGCTGTGAGGTCTTTCTTGCTTTCAGCCTTAATTTCCTATCTTACGCTCACTTGATGGCTTTTAACACCATTCGTTAGTCATTCTCAGTCTTACCGCAAGTTAAATGTATTTGGTCATACTGTTCGCAGTGATGAAATTCATCAATTCTCTTGTAAACTGGACTTTCTTATTTAAGGTGATTTTTCTTTTTAAACAAAAACTGCTTTGAATTTTTGTTTATCTAGTCAATCCTCAAATACTTCATTACCTCAGATACTGGCTGAGCACCTGGTTTTTTTTCATATACACAGCAGTATAATTCCTTTCACTTTCCCAGACCCAATTCCGGGAGGGGGTCTTCCCACACACACCACCAAGCAATTCTCCAACGCCAGCAGGGTGTCGGAGAAATCCTGATGCTGTCTGCCTGGAGACAGCACCAGATTCCCCAGGTTAAGGGCTCTGTCCCACAAGACTGCCCTCCACACCCCACACACCCAGCTCCAGACATGAGTCGCAAGCCCCAGGCAGGTACCTGTGCTTCTAAGCAACTGGCTAGACTGGAGGCTCCAACAACCTCCCCCTTAGTTGCTTAGTTTGATTAGTTTGCTAGAGCAACTCACAGAACTCAAGGAAACACTTACATTTACCAGTTTAATAAAGGATACAAGTTAATGGCCAGATGAAGAGAGACATAGGGCAAGGTCCCCAGTAAAGGAGCTTCTATCCTTGTGGAGCTTGGGACCTGGCTAGGTGGAATAGGGAAGCTTTCTGGTTCCCCAAGCATGGAAGCTCTCTACCAGACAGAAGCAGGATCCAAGGGGAAGAGATGCAATTCTCATGGGTTTTTGTAGAGGGCTTTACTTCATAGTCGTGCTTGGCTAAATCATTCACCTGGACCGCCAGCTCCACCCTTGGGTGGGGTCCAGTAGTCTTTCATTCACATGACAAGATACTGCTTCGCCGTTAAGACTCTGAAGTGTTTTCAGGAACTGTGGATGAAGACCAAATATACCTGGGGCATACATATGCATTTTCATATATATATATGTGTGTGTGTGTGAATGACCAAATATGTATTTTTTATGACTCAGTATATTGCAGCACCAGAGGTGGGAAGTATGGTGGGAGTAAGACAGTCACAGTGTTTGCCTTTGTAGAGTTCGTTGACTACCTGTAAACTCCAAAAAACAATTACATAACTGCAATTGTGATAAATGCAAAAAAACAAACACTTTAAGATTCTACGAGAGTACATAATGTGGAGATGACCCAGTTTTTCATTGTCAGAAAAGGTGTCCCTTGAGTAAGTAACACATACTTTGGGACCTAAAGGGCACCTACAAGTTAGCCGGCACACGAGGCCTATGGGTTGGCATGGGCACAGGCACTGAGGCAGACATGAGCTGATGCTTTTGAGGACCTCAATGAAGGATAACATGGCTAATGTGTCATAAGCAAAAGGACAAGGAGAGGTGGGCATTGTATGGAGGCGTGTTAAAGATCTGGGCCTCTGCCACCAGGATGCTTTTGAAGGCATAAGGCTGTGGAGCAGCATTTGTCAGTAGCCTGTAAAATAAAGGAAAGTCAAGTGACCCTTGGCTCTCTCACTTTTCTTCTCTGGGTCAGGAATATGACTGGAGAAACTATCAACCCGGCCAGATGAGTGAATCTGAGTTGCAGATGCTGGCAAGCCTCCGGCGGCAACAGAATGAAGAACTGGAGGACATAGGGGCCTCACACGGCCTGAGTGCATCACAGGTTGACAACTGTAATGTCAGTATAAGTACCAGCAGCGATGACACAACCACCTGGAACTCCTGCCTGCCACCGGTGAGTCCAGGGCGTTTTGTCTTTGTTTTTTGCTTTATGGAGGAGCGAACTTCTCTGGGAAAAGGGAGAAGTAGTCAGAGCCCATTACGAAATAGTTTTTTAGGTCTGGGAGCATTGTCTTTTCTTAAATTCTCTTGTTTTATACTTTAATATACCTCAGACAATGTATGGTAATTGTGTAGCAAAATATATAAAACCATACATTGGAAGAAAAAGGGATCGTTTTACTGTAGACTCTTGGTAACCCTTTGTATCTGCGGCCCCGAGCATAAGCCCTGGCACATAGGAGCTCAATGGTGTGAAATAAATGCTCGTTAAATGAATGAACAAAAAGGAAGAGGCTATTGATATAGTAAGTATTACTTGGATATGAGGGCAGAAAAGAACCTTGTGTTGAAGTCTCCAGATGTTATAGTGACTCCCCCTGTGTCTGTGGACCGTGATAGGCACTGCAGATGCTTTAGCGGCTTGTATTTCCCATGTTTGTACATTTAAAATACTTTTAAATATGGCCCATCATCCTCACTAAGGACTAGCAGAGGACTTGGAGCAGGTCAAAGTCTCCCTGTTTCTGAGGTGAGGACATAAATCCCGGGCCCACACTTCCACACCTGGTCTGTGCTGGGGCTCAGAGCAGAGCCCAGTGTTTTGACTCAGTCCATTCTCCACAGTACTGTCTGCACAGATTGCATGGCTTACTTGGAAAGACAAAGCAGAAACGTCTACAGAACAGGCCTGCACCACGTGAGAAATGTCATTAGTCCAAATAATAAAATCACATATCATAATGTAATTGGAGCTACCATTTCTTTAAGCACTAGAGACATTTCAAGACCTCTATAGGTTCACAAGACATTTGCTTATAAGGCCACATTAAACATCGTATCAAACATATGAAAAAGCCTTCCCAGCAGTAAATACAGCTTTTTTACTGTAGAGTTTTTGAAAGGAAATATAAAACTGTATCATTTTGATTCATATTTATATCAAATTACATAAAGGTTGAGTTCATAGTTGACAGTGGATAACTTACATTTTACACATTTAATTAAATATTTATTCTGTAAAAATTTTTTTATTTTGAAGCCTCTTTTTGTCCAGGTCTCTGACATCTTTGTGTATCTTAGCAATCGCAGAGGCCCTGGCACTAGGCCTGTGTTACCTGATTTACCCCTTACTGCTGTCCTGTGTGGCGAGCACCAGGGGGTTCCCATTCCTGCATGAGGGAAGGGAGGCTCTTGGGTAAAGCAATGCAGACCTAGCTTGGCAGGACTCCCAAGTCCGAGCTCCCAACCACCGTGATATATGGACTCTGTTGCCAAATGAGTGCTACCAATATCCAGCAGAAGGTGAGATTTCTGCTCTGGAAAGAACTTACGAGACTTCGTGGAGGAGGAATTCAGTTGGCTCTGAGGAGATGTGGAGGATAAGTGAAGCTAGTTTTTCATTAGTGTTCTTTATGCCCACTGCCCATCGTCCAGGTTTGCCTTGCCTTAGTTGGGCTTCCATTGGGCCGAATAATCAGTCATGCAGGCCGCCTCAGGCAGCCTTGGTGCTAAAGATTATCAACCCCCCAGCAGAAACCCCCTGTGTGCCGGTTACTCAGAGTATCCTCGTAGCCAGAGCTAACAACCTAAGAGTGAGTGCATGCAGAGTTTTGCCAATGCAATTTACAGTGGAATTGAAACGTTGCCTTTCTTACCAAATATTCCTCAACAATCATTTAAACCAAAAGTAAGAGAGAATAGTGGCCTCCTGAACGAGCTCATTCTGTCATGAAGTAGCTCGGAGACCAACATTGCAAGGGGCAAGCTGAGGAATGGTTAGTTATGGACTGAAAAGGCTGAACTCTGGGTTGCCCTGGATACCGTGTTCTCATCACTGCCCTGTTCTGGCAAGAACTGAAGTCCTCCTGCATGACAGCTGCTCTGTCCCAAAAATATACAGCCAAAATAACACCATTTGTAATGAACTTAGTAACTCCTCTATTTGACCAAATGAGGAATTGAAAACAGTCTGGCTTTTTTTTAGACAGAGAAAATAATTGAAAAACCTACCTTTGGCATTCATAAGATATGTTTATTATTGCATCAAATATAGTCTATTTCAATATTGAAACTATCACCAAATGGAAAATCGCACTCCTTAATGAACTCCGCATCTTGTTGCTCATATGGAGTTTAAATGGAGCAATTTACAAGAACCACTGTGGTCGTTCTGAGAGCTCGTGCCTTTCTCTCTAGAAGTTGTACAGAGATAGTGAAAAAGAAGAAAGACCTCATCATTTTGTCACAGTGATATCCTGCTTTTCTTGCATCTCAGTGATGGTGCCAACATTGACACTGGCACTCAATCAAAAATTTGGAAGCCATCTCCACTTCTCCCACCCTACCTATAGCCTAGGCACTTTATTTTCATCCAGATTCCTTCATCATTCTCCTAGTGCCTACATACCTCCAGTCAAAGCACCGCAGATAGCCTGGTAGTTGGGAGGATCTGCTCTGAAGTCAAATTACCAAGATTCAAATCCGAGCTGCAGCCTCATAAAGCACTTGGCACTATACCGGAGACATAATAAGCATTTAATAAATTAAGGTTAGTTGTCATTATTAATGTCACTGTTATTCACACTAGTGATCTTTCTAAAGCCCAGATCTAATCTGATCTCTTCCTTGCATCAAACCGTTTATAACTCCCCATTGCCTCTTTAGTTTAGCCTGACGGGCCCCCCAGAATCTAAGGCCTGCCGTCTCCCCAGTCTCATCTCTCACTGCTCCCCCACTTTCCCTCCATGCTTTAGGCCTGGGTGTAATTCCTTAGATACACTCCACACATACCCTTGTACCCTGTAGCTGACTATCCCTCGAGGCTTAGCTCCAAAGCCCCTGTAGCCTTCTCCAGGTCTCACTGTGAGAGACATACATACCTTCCTTTCTGCCTCTACAGCCAGGAGTATCTCGATGATGACTCACCACAACCTAGCTTGCCTGTCTCACATTAATTCATTCCACATATTTTTTTGAATGGTGCAATGTGCCAGGGATACAAATAAGCTACTCAAGAATGAGTTCAAGCTCAGCTTGTAGAAAGAGAAGAAAATAATTCTAGATTCTAAGAAGGAACAGGATTAAATCTATGGAGGAGGGTAGAGTCTCCCCTTGAACAAGATAATCTCCTCTTAGTGCCTTTGTTTCTGCATCACCTTGAACAGGACCTGAAATGAGTTTCTGCTTTTCTCACCATCACTACCCATCCCCCACCCAGCACACACACAACTACTCCTCACTCTAACTACGCCGTGCAGCCTGCCCATCACTGCCATGCCTTTTGCTGAAGCCTGCCAATCATGCTATTGCCAGGCTCTTTCCTCTGCCTAGAGACCCTTTGTCCCTTTTCCTAGAACCTTCTGTTTTTCCAAGGTCCAACTCAAATGTCACTGCCTCCCAAAACCCTCTCTGACCGTCAGTCACCCTGCCCAGAATTATTTGCTTCCTTCTCTGGGTTCCTGTTGTCTTCAGGCTCAGTGATAGCACTTACCACATCAGGTAGCCATTGTTACAGTTTCCCCGCAGCCTGGTCAGGAGCTCCCAGCACAGAGCCTGCCATGAGGTCACATTCACTTGTGGCTGGTTGTTAGTCATTGGTTGAACGACTTAGTCACATCAGGAAAAGATTCCATTTTTTACTCTAAAATAAGGTGGTGGTTGTCATAATTCCAAAATAAACATCAGCTTTGCTTAAATAAATCCTGAATGATACAGGTAATATTTTACATTCTAGATTTGATAAGTGGCTATTAAAAATATACATACAAAGGAAATACCTCCCTCTGGCCAAGTCTTGATGACCAGTAGTTTAAAAAGGAGATTTAGGCAGGTAATATTCAATTTAGCACCTTTACCTAATGACTTTACATACATTACAGTCTGAAACCAGAAAGCCTACACAGAGTAAAATGAAGACTCTTTAGCAAAATCTATTGTGTTTACAAGCTTTAATTTCACAGCTTTCCTCAGCATCTGTACAGTTCAGAGTAATATGTACTGTTTAAAAGGTATTTAGATATAATAAATTAGTCATTTAGAAGTGTAATTAAATGTAACCATATTTCTCATAGCAAATTGGCTTTTGTAGGCATCTCATGCTAAATAAATCAAGCCTACTGAGAAATCCATGGGCCTTTGACAGACAAATTTTTCAAAGTTTCTAACTTAGGACCAAACTCAATTAAAACAATACTTTACAACTTCTGTGGAAACCAGGCTACAAGTAATCGATTTTGGAGGGTTTCTGTTAGGAGTAGCCCTCATGAGATTTATTCAAAAACTGAGCTCTAGGCAGCCTTAGGAAGGAAGCTATGAGTTGGTTATAAGAGATTCTTAAGTGAATTTTATTTTGGTGAGTGGTTTTGATTGACAGTAGCACAAAACCCTGTCTTGTGTGTGTACGTGTGTATGTGCTCGTGCACACACATGCACGTGTGGTATTTTCTTCTCAAGAAAAAGGAATTAATGGAACAGCTTCATATAATGACCAAAAGAATATAGACTCTACATCAGCCAGCCTGGGCTCAAATCTATTTACTGGCACAATCACCCACAGAATGGGACGAATAAAATGCCTGCTTCAAAGGGGCCCAATGGGAATTTCACATGCCTAGTGCTCACCGTGCACCCACACTAACTAGTCTGCTGCTCCACCCAAGCCATTCTCGTCCAGGGGCCACTGCAGTGATCAGGAAGGATTTCTAGGACATTTTCCCTTTTTATGACCTCTGAGGACTGTGAGTGTGGGCAGAGGTTCTGTTGTGCTTGTTTTGATGTGAGCTTAACTGTCAGAATCCAGACAGACCTCCTCAGAGCTTTACAACTAAACTCTTTATTTCATTATTTCAATATTTCATTATTCTCTGTCCTGCCTCTAAACCTAGATTCAAGAAAAGCATGCCTCACTGCATGCTGTCCTGTAGCAGATGCCCCAAAGATACCGTTCCTTCAAGTTGAGAATCCCCATAACCTAATATCAAACACAGAAGTATCCTCAGTTTGTTTAAAAAAATAATAATCACACTCATCCATCAACATGGCACGTTGCAGAGCATAATGTTTGGAGAAAAGGAGGCAAAATGCACTTAATAAAATTAGAAGCATATAGTGAGGTTCTCAGACAAGTTATTTATGGTCTTCATTAACCTTGCAACATTGCTGCCATTATCATAGGTTTCATATAACAACATGAAAATATTGTCTTTACCTTTAAAATGGCAGGATTATCTTATCTCCTGTTCTTTTATTTAGCCTTCACATCTCTCCCTCACCCCAAAATTTCTAGTGTTAGATCAGCTTGATCATGGAAAAGCAAAGCTCATGCTCTGTGCTAGTTAATTTTAGGAATGCGCTTTCCCGACGCTAGTGCATAGCAACAGCGCCACCAAAAGGACGCGGTGCCGAGTTTCTAGGATCTGTTCCATTTCTTTGCTCATCCATGTATCAGATGCCTTTGTCATGATGATTTCTGGATGATATGTCCAATATATTGGCATTTCAGGTTCTTTATAGTTAATAGGTCTTAATTTGTTCTGAGCTACAGATTCATTAACTTCTCAGCTCTCTTTAGTGTAATGAGTTTTCTTTTTAACCCTCCTGAATTAAAACGGTAAGTAGTTGATTGTGCTAAGCTGCAGCTAAACCAGATGAGCAGATGTTCGTATAACACTATGGAAATGATACATGAAAACTGATTATTAGAATCAGTGTAATATCTCTGCTGTCAGGAGAAAATAGTGAAATGTAAGAGTTGTCCCGTATCTAGTGACTATGAAACTCACCTCCTGAAATCAACTTCTCCTCATTCTTCGTGAGTTGTCTATTATTGTATCTTATGTTTGTCCCCAATTTAGCAATATGGCAAACTTGACTTTATTTAATTTTACATACATAGTGACATGTCATAAGAGTGAAATCAGGTTAATTTAATTTACAACGAGGAGGTAGTCTTACATATTTCAGATAAATGTATCTCAGGATGACGTTTGTTTCCTGCCAGAAACTGCACTGAGTTTTGTTGTATTTGTTGTTATTCAAAGACCTAAGTATTCAACACTCTAGGTGAACCCCCAGGCTGGATTAAGCACTATAGCCTACGGGTTGAGAGGGTGAACGAGAGAGTCAGACTGCCTGAGTTCAAATTCTGCCTCCACTATTTTCTGGCTGGCATGACTTTGGTTAACACCCAGTGTCTGAACTACTTCTCCTGGTAGATGGAGTTGTTAATCCTGTCTATTCATAGAACTGTTGTGAGGATGAAATGAGATGCTAGCAACCCCCGATCTAACACGAAGTGCTCAGTAAATCTCACTCACTGCTAGTATTGTTATTGTTGTCATAGTTATTTGTAGGTACTCATTGCTGTTCCTTTGCTTATGGTATATTGTCTAAATATGGCTGAATCACAAAATGAAAAAAACCTATTTTAGTTTCTTTAACTGGTGCTTTCACAGGATGTTACCTACCTGGAAGTCATAGCAATAGGTTTACTGCTGCATCTGTATAGAAATGTATCTATTTCCATGTGTGCATGGGGACATCTGGTTTCAGACAGCCCATTCCCGTCTCCCCAGCCCTACCCACACCCCCCCACCACCACGTTCAGAGAGCTTTTAGAAACCATTAGGCACATTCTCCTTCATTCTGATTTGGGCCTAAGAAAACAAAAAGACCTCTTTCAAGTAAAAGCTCGGCCCTTTCCAAGCATCAAAGCAAAGTTACGGGAACTGGAATACGTGGAATGAGCTTTGCAGCTGCAGCATGTCCCTGTCCCTGATTCTGATTGTGAAATTAGGAGCCATGTACAGAGGAAGGGAATTGGGGCTGCCCCGTTTTGTATGACACCCTCTTCAAAACAAGACTTGCATCCTTCCCCAGCTGAATTATCAGCAGTTGTGGTTTATAAGTCCATTCATAGCAGCGACATGTGTAAGCCGGCATGCTCAGCCATGATATGCTATTATTAAATTTAAGTTAGTTACTAAATTAAAAATTGTGGGGTAAAACTTGGTCATTAGTTTTTTAGTAGTAAAAATTAAGTTAAAAGCAGGTATTTAGGCTGAGTTCCATACAATTATTATAACTGATTTTTTTGTTTACCTTTCTGTCTGTTCACATCAGCAGTCTTTACTATTAGTTTCCATTGCTTATTTTTTTTGTCTTCTAATACTTAAAAACCACTGCGAATGTGAATCTTTTGTTGATTGTGTTACATTTTACTCCATGTATCATTGGCTCTGTTGTACATAAACCTAAGCCAGCATCGAAGGGGCCAGTCTATGTAGTCTTCAGTGAGAGCTGAGTCATAAACAAGATAGGATTCTGTAGCCATTTTGCTTCTCCAGAGGTTGAAGTCATCTGGACTACATCTACAGAGGTAAATAAAATGGTGTAAAATTGAGGAAATGGAGATTTGGCTGAGTATGAGGACCATGATGCATAGAGAGTTATGGAAATACATCTGAAGGTAAATAGGCGGAGGCCCATTGACTGGAGGCCTGAATTCAGCTGAAATACTGGATGAATACCAATGGCAGTATTACCGGGAGTATTTCTACACCAGTGTGAGTTGGTCTAGAGAACCTGTTTGGCCCTTTGCTTGCTAATTCCCTTTTTGCTGTGAAATAATAAAGCCTAAATCATAGAATTAAATTTCACTTGCAAATTGCTGAAAGGCTTATTTCTCCAGTGAGATCAAATATGTCTTATGACAGGTTTTTCCTTCCACTGTTCTCCCAGCTGTTGTTTCTTATTGCTGAAATGGTGATGCATTGATATTGGTTCAATTACCAAAGTATCCGGGTACATTTAAATTCATGGTGCATCACAGAGAGTCAGGCTAAGTGGCTATGATTATCAGACAGGGTGTTTGATTTAAATCAAAGGAGCACTTCCAAGAGATTATTTATAGAGGAAGACAGTTTACTCTGAAGAATTCCCATCACCGATGTCACTAATATTTTAGGACCCATTAAAATAAGGGATTTATGGAAAATGAGGAATATGTGTCCTATGTATATATAGGCACGATTGCTACACTGTTTCCCTCACTTGGCATCAGCTCTGTGGGGACACGTTTTGAGTGAGAAAACCTTTAGGCCAGTTCAATTGGGTAAGGAGGGAACTGAGACTCTTTAAATGGAATTCAAAAATATATACCTAATTCCACCTTGTAATAAAATGAGAATGTTCAAAATGATTTTCATATTAGAATTACATGGTTGTTAGCCACATCCAAAAAAATACTTGGAGCCACATTCAAAAAGAGATCGTAATCTGATAGAATGGAATTCTCTCTATTTACAGAACAAAAGAAAAACAGCAGGTTCTGTTTAAGGCTTACATGGGATACACTTGTTTAGCTCCATTACTAAATAGACAGTAACTTAAAGGTTTCTTGTTGGGAGTGGGGAGATTCCACATTTTTGTTAGGTATTGGCATCACTTTTTTCAGTTTGTTGATTAGTTCTGGAGGTTTTATTATACACTTGGGAAAGATGACCACCTTGACCCAAGATTTTGAGTGTAATTCCATTAATGAAAATAGAAGTTACCCTTGCAAACTTACTAACATTGAGATATAAATATATTCTATATCTCTTGAGTCTCTTGAGTCACTGCTAATACTTGCTATGCAGTTCCATGAAATGCCTTAGTTTGTCTTGCTGTATCTGGAAGTATCAGCTACTGTTCACCGCATAAAATTCCACAAGGAGGATGATTCACATAAACTTAAAATTGCAACATAGATACTATCTAGTCCAGTGACTGGCCATGAAAATAACCTGTGTTTTCGCATCTGTACCACCTTGTTATTGGCTGGGTCTCTCCCAACAGCCTTTGACTCTTCTGCAAAGTAAACTAGCTCCTCCTATGGATTGTTTCTCAGGAAAAAAAAAATACAGCAATGAGAGTACATATGAAAGTATGTAAAGAACATTATGCTGATTAGTCCCTCACAACTGTTTTGTCTTTAACAGCCTGTCAACCAGGGTCGGCACTATCAGAAAGAAATGAATCCACCTTCTCCTTCCAACCCCCGGTAAGAATCTTATTAATCTAAATGGGTTTTTTTAAAACATTGTTTAGAAGGTTGTACATTTTTCTCTCTTTGTTTTCCAAAACTTCCTAAGAGCTTCCAAAGTTCTTTTCTTTAGAAGTCTTAGTTCAGTCTACTTTTCTCACTCAGACTATAGTGTAACAGTCTACCTAAGTTTAAATAGCCCCTCTGCCTTTTACTAGCTGTGGGACTTTGAGCAAGTCATTTAACTGAAGAGTAATTCAAACGTAATAATGACCTTATAGTACTTTAGGGAAGATCATACAAACTAATACATTAAAAAATTTTAGCACAGTTTCTGTCACACAGCAAGGACAATATTGTTGTATTTGCTTTTAATAGGTATTCGATGTTTAGTACATTTTCAGCAAGTCTTTTTTTGTATTATCTCGTATTTTTAAATTTATTAAATTAGTTTATATGAGTTCAAAAAGCCATTCTTTTTTTTCATAATTTCAGAAGTTCATAATCTCAAAATTTTTTCCTTTTTTCAAAAATGTCATTGTAATATGAGTCATTTGTCAAAATTTTTTTAAAAACTCATTTTGACCTCATTAGAGACAAGCAAATCTGAATGTGAGCTAAGCTAGTTTGTCAGTATAAATCAGTATCACTTTGTTACTATTTACTGAATACTAGAAATTTACTGACAATCCATCTACCTTATCTCCACCCACAGCATCTTAGAAATTGTAATATTTCTCATTATCCAAATACCTCTCATTATCAAGCTCTGCCATCTATACTGTGGTTTGTCCCACTTAATGGACCAAAACACCATAAATAGCACTTGTGACTGTGGCTCCAGCCTATCAGTTACACAGTGTCTGAATAAGACTTAGTTTGCACATATCGAAAACAACTTAGAAAGTACTAGAAGAGAGACAGACAAAAAGAGATAGACAGGAGGGATTTGTTATATGAGAATCAGGGCTCTATCCTGGAACGCACAGGCAACCAGACCGCAGGAGGGGCCTGACATAAGAACTGCAAAGCAGAAAGGGGCTGAGCAGCAACCTTGCTCCATCTCTGCTTGCTACTTCCTGTCTCCTCCATTCATCTAAGCACCCACTTCCTCTGCTTCCGGTCACATATGGCTGTCTGACAACAGCTCTTGAGTTTACACATTGTGGTTCACAGTACACATCAAGCTTAACATCCCAATTCCTACTTTCCAGGAGAAAGAATGTGATTGGCCTAGCATGAGCCAAGTATTCACTTCTGGTCCAATCATCAATGAACAGCCAACCCCAAGCCATGAAGAACTAATACTGCCACCAGGAGGCCACTTACATGGTTTACAGGACATTTATTGGGCCCAAAATATTCATGGCAGAGAGAGAGGAAATGTTTTTTATTAGTAATCTCTTCTAAGTGTTCCTGGTCTCTACTCTTGATCTGGTCATTCTTTCATGGTTATCTAGCAGGGGGAATTGGCATTATCATAGATATTATAAGGAGCTCAAAATTGAGATTGTAATTTCAGTGTTTATAAAAAGGTGTTTTAGCATTCTTAAAATCAGTTGTCTCATGATATATGAATATGTGTCTTGAGATCTTGCAGCTCAAACAAACTCTTTTTTTCTATATATGAATAAACTTTCAAGGTAACTGGAAATTCAACTTTGGTCCAAATTGTAGCAAAGACAGAATTTGTGGTCTGAATAAATGAAAGTGATGATAAGATATGTTAGAAAGTGGAGCCTTTCTAACAGAAGGAGTAGAGGGACCTAATTCTCAGCCTAATTATGCTAGTAACCCAGTATATGATCTCAGACAAGCCTCAACCCATCCAAACCTCTTCTAATATGAAAACCCTCATGTGTGAAAGAAAGGATCTGAGTTACCGGCTCTCTCAGATCACTTCAGCTTTCTGATTCTGTGACTTCAATGAAACTCATTATAGACTTGGCTATGAAAACCAGTTCCACTATGGAAGGAAACACTACCCTGTATAGAAAACATACCTCATGGTATTGGATTCATTAATTAATGTTTAGATGTAGTAGTGTATGACTTCAAATATGTCTTTTAAAATTTGATTCCCAAAGATAGAATATAAGAAAATTCACTAACTAAACAGGCAGTATTTTATTTAACTAATTACATGTTCATTCATTTAGAAAAAATTATTTTACATTTTTACATAATAAAATAAAAATCTAAATTCTAAAACAAAAATAAAATGCTATCATCCCATTTCCTAACAGTTTATCCATCAATTTCCTAGAAAATTATTATATATCTGTTTAGAAAACTTTAAGATTATGTGGCTTGGATCTTAGCTCATAAATCCTGCAGCTTGAAGAATTGGTAGAAAGGCATTATTGGGCCATAAATAAAGATGAGGATAAAATTATGAAGTCAGCATTGATCATCGTATAAAAATGGGATAAATTGAATCATGTAATGCACTTAATTTAACTTAGAATTGAAAGCTGTGATTTTTCTTAAGATTTGTATTTATAATATTTCTTATAAGTAGTACTCCATGCTTTAGATCCTAAAATATGAAATTTTACAATTAAACTTTGAAGTTAGAAGGTAATGATAATGAATATGAAAAAAACAAGAAATGAAAAGCTAAGTCTGTAAGTCTACCCCCTTGGATAAACAAGCATCTAAGCTGAATCCTGGATTGAAAGTTTGGTGTATAGAAGCTCTGAACAATATACATGAGATACAGGTAGGCTCTTGATTTCCTGAGTTAAATGTGGTTGTAAATAAGGGTAACAGAAATATGACAGGATGGTAGACGTGTGTATACCAGTCCATCAATAGTGACCTTTGAGAGGTGAAATGGCCACGTTAGCTTCAGTGAAATATCCGCAACTACTCCAGAGACCTAAGAACCTAGGATTTTTAGGTTATATATGCTCACAACGACATACATACATATTTCAAGAGTCAACTTCCAGTTAGCTTCATTAATATAACAGAACAACCAATATCCCCATAGTCTTTCATTTACATTTTATTCTGGAAAGATTTTTATTTCTGCAACATATTACCATCTTAGTTTTATGTGTTTATGATTAAAGTTAAAGATAGTATTTAGTCCACAAAGCAGGTACATTTGGGTTTTGAAGACTTGGCTCTAGGATGAAGATAGCTGAAACATTATATATTCATACATTGTTTTCCTCAGAGTAAAATAATTCACTTGTACTCATATGGCAGTGCTTGATATTGGACAGAGGTGGGATACAGTGATGATTGTTTCCAGAGAAGTTTACAGTCTAGAAATGAAAATACAGTATTCACCTCATCATGTCCCCTTGCATGTCAAGGTTTGCACCAAAGGCCTCTCCCCTCGCATCATTTGGCACAGGTGTGAAATTTCCCATTATTTTTGCCTAACATACTGATTGATATTTAGGTAGCAGCTCAGATGCTAGGCCCTTGCCTCCAGTGTCCACCCAAACTGCCCTTTGGGGTCCTGACAGCCTCTTTGGAAAGGTGCATAAATGGCTAACATAATCTAATACAATTTAGAGGCGTGTTGGGTAGGAGGAAATAATTTCACAGTTCATTCATGTCGAGAAATGTTTCTGAGCATGTAAACTCACATGCTGCCAAATGGAGCAAACTGGATGCTGTTTGCAGCCTTAAGTCGTTTATTTTCAAATGCCGTCTATTGGTTTGTGGAGGTTCAGAGCCATCCCTTAGGCACATCTATTTATGTGTTTATGTAGATTCTTCAGAACAACTCAAGATATTTTTGCTCAGGAATGGATTTTATAAAATAAGCTCTGATTATGTTCTGGTTGTCTGTTCATATGGATGGACTTGATAACCACCCTTGCATTTCAAATGTTGATTGTACTTGCTATTTTTACAACTCTTTGGAAAATTAGGGGGAGGAGGGAAGGTCGTCAGAGGCTCTGTAAGGTTCTAAATGTTTATAGAAATAAACAATACAGAAAATAATTCTAGAGCGCCCAAACAGTAATGAAGGGCATGATTTTTAAAGTGTTTGCTTTATAATTTATTGCTTATCTTTGGTTTTTTAAAATGTCATTGCAGATTTTGTTAGGGCTTGAATCCTTTGCAGCTTTGCCACATGTTTGTATGATATGAATGTACTTATAACTATAATTATCTGATAAAGCCCTGCAGACTTTGCAAATGATTAATACCCACTGACCTTGGTTTGCACTGGTTCAGCCGGCCTGACTGAGGCAAGCTGGCCTGTCATCATAACCTACATCAGCGCTACTCTGGGCCCATCAGTAGCTTCATTTTTCTTTTCTCTCCAATTGTTGGGACTCAACCTGCTGGGCTTCTCCTCATACTGCTTAAGTTTTTTTCCCCATCCACACAAAAGAGGGGAAAATGTGTAAATAAATAAAATTAAATACAGAATTTGCATGCCATGTTCCTCTTCAAATGATTAAGTTTGGGTCATTTTTAAATGAATGAGTCAAATTTTTAACAAATATTCCTTCAGATTTTCTGGTTAATTGCGCAGTTTTTCTAAACGTAGTGTTACTACGTTTAGAGAAACATTTAGAGTAGTTCTATTACCTACATTTTTGCATTAGATCTCAATGATTTGTTAATAAACCAAAGGCATCAATTTTTACTTTCATCATTTCTCTTGCTGACTTTAAGGAAAAGGTGCCGGAATCTGCCTTATTTCATAATCTCATCCCCACCAATTCACACCTGCTTATGTGAGGGCTGTGAATCTCCATACTCAGAACCCACCAGTCTACAGCAAAGGCCAGGCTTGAAATGACTTGTATAGCCTCTCTAGCCTGTCCCAGAGAAAACTCAAGCTAAATGCACCCTCGGTAGCAAACTGAATTCCTCAAGGATCATCCTGCTTCTCACCTCTGAACACTCTGAACCTAGGACCCTGCCCTGTGTAACTCTGGGGACACCATTCCCATAGGGTTCAAGAGGACCCAACAGCTCACCCACAGAGCTGGGTTACCAGTGGTACCCGACCCCATTGGCACTTGGTCTGCCCAGCCCAC